CTATATGCAATCCAGGGGTTATTGTGCCCTGTGAAGACATGAAAAATAGGATACGGTTATTGTGCCCTATATGAAATCAGGAGTTATTGTGCCCTGTGAAGACATGAAAAATAGAATAGGGGCTACTGTTCACTATATGCAACTAGGGGTTATTGTGCCCTATAAAGAGATAAAAAAAATGATAGGGATTATTATGCCCTATATGCAATCCAGGGGTTATTGTGACCTCTGAAGACATGAAAAATAAATAGGGGTTATTGTGCCCTATGAAGACAAAAAAAATGATAGGGGTTATTGTGCCCTATATGCAATCCAGGGGTTATTGTGCCCTGTGAAGACATGAAAAATAGAATAGGGGTTATTTTTTTTACTTATATTATTATTATTTAATATTACTTTATTTTATTTTATTTTTATTATTAGATTGACCAATTTAAAAATAAAATAAAATGCCCCAGATTTTATTAAGAAAAAAATAATTCTTTTTTTTTTTTGCATATTATATGAGAGACAAGGATTCAAAAACTTACCATCGCGGCGTTTGTCTCTAGCGAATTATTTGCATGATTTGTCTTTATAACTCTTTCAGCCTATTACTTTATTTCTATCTTTATTGTGCTCATGCCAACACGGAATGTCATCATTTGATAAATGGTGTCATTCGTGATTTTTTTACCAAGTAGACATTCTTATTTTTTTACTGTCATCTTATGTTTCTCTCGAGAGTTTTCACTCATAAGACCCTCTTATATTTTTAATTTTTTTCTGTAACATACCATAGGTTATAATGTCATGTTTCAACCCTTGTACATTTTAAATAGCATGATCATTATTTTATTGAGTGATTAGACTGAACCTCAATGAAGGATTGCCTACGTATCCTCTTAGGAATCACGTCGAACGTAGTTCAATAAAAAAATACCTTTCTTTTTTTTGATTTATTTTTAGAAAAATAATGAAAAAATTAGAAAAAGAATTAGTTCATGTTTGATAATGCCTTGACTTTAGTTGATACCAACAATTAGTATTATGCATATGAACTACATTCAACTAATTTCAAATAAATTTGAAGTCAACTTTGAGTAATTTATATAGTTTCAAATTGTATCTCAAATATGCTTAAGTAATCGTTGACACCCAATTTTGACCCGCGTCGGTATAAATTAATTATCGAGCTTCCTAAATTTTCCAAATAATTTAATTTGATTAGTTTTATAAATTTTACGAATATAATATAATACATGAATTTTATGTTACTTCGAATACGTTTTAACATAATTTTTGATAATATATTTTTTACATAATTATGTATATAATTAGTATGTCTTGTGATTATTCAAAAACCATCAAAAATATACATTTAAATGTTTTATTAAACTAGTTTAATTTAAATTATAATTATACTTTTAAATCACTTTTTATTATTTTAATAATTATTTTGCTAAATTAAAAAAGGCTCGTTGATTAATTAATACGAATTCATTTTTTATTTAAGATTTAGCCAAATTTATCATTTTAATTCAATTGGTTATCTTTTAAATTAAACCAATTCCCTTCCCCATTTTATATCAATTCTGAGGCCCACGCCCACTCATCCAGGCCCAATTTCCTTTCAACCCAATACTAAAATCCGGCCCAATACATTCCACCCAAACCACCCACTCTCTCTCCCACGCTCTCTCCCTCTCTCTCCTCCTCTCTCACTCTAGCTGTGCAACGACTCTTTGGAATCATTCTCTTCTGCAACTCGTACGCTTGTGCAGGTCTGGAAGCAACTGGGACTAGAAATTTTGTCGTTTGGTAGCAAGATTGAGCCACACAAGGGCAAAGGACGGTCGATTAATCTCGACCCTCCACATATGCCCTCAATCCGTTGAAGATTGTGGCATCAAAATGGGATATTCCTTCAGATGTGGATAGGGTTTAAGGATTCGAATTCGGAATGGGCCTGGGAGCTTCTGCAAGATCTCCCTCCTCGAAAACCCTAGTCGTTTTTCTATTTAAACCTCCTCCCTCTTCAGATTTTGGGTTGGACGATTCTTCTTGGAGAATGGGGGAGTTTATCACGGAGGATACAAAAATTTATTATCGAAAAATATTCTGGTATTTTCTGTTCGTTGTAGGAAAACAGTGAGTTTGGTTTAGGTTGGGGATTCAGGAGGGAGATTTTCCATATATATTCGTTGGTCCCGAGTTCAAAACGAAAATTGTTGAGTTTTCGTTCGTTGCTTTTGAAAGGTAGCACTCCGTTCGTGAGGTCGTCGTTTCTCTGCTCCGCTCATTCCCGTCCCAGTGTTGCTGCTCATAAGAAGTTCCGTCATGGACTCATGCTCCCTCGCGCTAGCGGAGAGTCGTAAAGACTCACCGCTCCCTTTTTGAGTCAACCCATCAAGCGTTGTGAGGATTGAAGAAATTTGAAGAAGAGGATTAGAAGACATATTTTATTTTTTGCGTTTCGTATTGTATTTATTTTCGGGCATAAGCCCTGGCGTCTTTTATTTTATCGTATGCATTTTTGTGTAATTATTTTCTTAGTTTAGGACAGGTGAATGGGTCAAAAACCCAAAAACAGGTGGGTCCAAGATTCGGTCAAGGCGAACAGAACCCGAATTCGGACCCAAAATCTCTCTCTCTGTCTCTTTATTACTTGTTTGTGCGTTTGTTTAAAGTATAGTTAGTCTAGGGTTAGAAACTCCAAACCTCCATCGACGTCTTTTATTTTATCAAATTAAAAAATTAAAATGAATCTCGAAACAATAAAGTTTCAAACTCACGAGTTGGCTTAGAATTAAAAAGTTTAAAAAGTTAACTCTAAACGGAATTTTAAAGCAATAATATCTTATTAAGTTCGTTTAAGATTTGAGAAATCTAACTTAAAAAATTCGCAAATCGTTAAAATAAATAGTCAAATAGTTAATCGTTGGAAAACCGTATTTAACGGAGTGTCTTAGGTTCTTTCAACACCTTCCTAAGACACTAATAAGAATTCCGAAACCTTAAAATAATTTTCAAACAATTTTCCTGTTTTAAGTTGTTTAGAAAATAAGTTTTCTTGATTTTTCTTAAAAAATTAAGTGGCGACTCCTAAAAGTCAAAAATACCTTTAAAATAAAACAAACTCTTTTCGAAATCAATTTTTTGATAAAACAGAAATGACGACTCTGTTGGGGACTATTTGGAGGATTCTAACCTTAAGACTAACTTGTTTGACTAATTACGATAACTGTTTACTTGCTTAAATACTTTAGTTTTTCGAAAAATTGCATTTCATGTCATAACTTCCGCCAAACGGCAAATAGTCTGCATTAGGATACGAAAGTTACGCGGCTTACCGTGACTTCTCTCAGATATACCCAAGAAATCATTTGGGAGTATCGAACAAATAGTCGAAATGCGGTCATCCGGCGTTGTTCGATAGCTCCACCCCGATGTTTGTCCGACTTGGGTAACTGTCAATTTGAAAATAATTCTACTAAACCTAGGATAGAGCTAAACCAAATCCCGGAAATAGCACATATGCCTAAGATGACCTAATACCCATGGCGTGTTGGGCCCATTAGAAGACCGCCTTGAGTCCAAAATGGCCCACAACCTAAATGGACGTTCATGCTTTATATGTTTAAATTTGAAGGATGTATACGGTGTTCGAGAAGTATTTCAAAATGACGTATACGTCCCTCAAATCGCTAGGCCCACCCTTGGCAGAAAAGGGTCACATATCTGTTTAGAACGCGCAATATTTGTTTATGTGTTACAACTGCTTATATGAATATGTTGTTTTATCTGGAGATATTCTAGCTCACTCTTTTTCAAATATTTTTAGAACCCATAAGCACAAATATCAAGTCACTATCAAAGGTGCGTCCAAATACTCTTCGAGTCTTTAGTTTCCTAAAAAAAATTAAAATATTTTACTACTCTCATATCAGAAAAGATTCATCATTTCAAATCAAAAGGATTTTGAGAAATTTTATCTTTTTCGACTCTTACAAGGAAATTAGAGTCACATCTCAATCAAAAATCCAAGTACGGTAATGAAAGATACTGTTAACTTTGTCTCGAATCAAGTCGATGTTTTTTATTCACTAATCCCAAAGTCAAGTAGACAAATTCCTGTCTATTTAAAACATTTCTCTATATTGGTTTCTCTATATTTGTGAGCCAGTTTATCTCCGAATAAAGTAACTCTTATGTGTTTACACCTATATGTGATATCTTGCATTATTCACCACCTCCAGGCACTAACACATTGGTCTTTTGAGTTTTTTCATTTGTCAGGTATTTAAAACTGATTTGTGTTGATAAGTTGGTTGATAATCCATATTTCACAAGGTCTAAGGCCCTTAAAGATTCCTTACCCGATCAAATTCGCGAAAAGAAAAGACAACAATGGGGGATAACAATGATGAGATTGACATGAATGATGTTGTCGTGGCTCAACCCGCTGCCGCTGATAAAAATGAATTGATTATGCAGTTGATGCAACAGATTGCCGAAATGAGGGTCGAAATTCAAAGAATGCAAGATGGGTCTAATCCAGTTTCATCCTTCAACCCTCCAAGAGATGGAAGACCTCCACTCTACTTTCCCCCCCAAGCACGGAACAAGTTCAAAACCTTCTCTCTAACCCCACCCAAAATCCTCCAACCATTGACTCAACCACCCCCAATCCCCGTCACGCCATCACGTCGTGTCAAGCACCAGAACATCCTCAAAATACTAACCTTCAAATCCTCCATACCCCTCAAAACCAAAATACAAACAAGGCTCAAACCTTCCCCCATCTTCAAAACCAAAATACCGATCCTCAAAATTTCCCCACAAAATTATCAAGCCACTCAAAATACCCAGAATGCTTCCATTGTTCCACCCATACCTCAAAAGACTACTTTCCAAATCCCAATTCCGAATGAGCCTCATGTCGGTTGTTCCGAGCTTGATCACTATAAAGAACAGGAGAGAGAGAGTGGAGGTCAAAAGAAAAGGTAGTTAAGGTGAATATGAAAGAAGAGATCAGGAAAGCCATGAAGGAGTTGCACTATATTTCCAAAGTCGATGGATTAAGCTATAAGGATTTATGCATCCATCCGAATCTCGACCTCCCAGAAGGGTTCAAAGTGCCAAAGTTTGTCACTTTTGACGGAACAGGAAACCCTCTAGCACATCTGAAAGTTTATTGTGATCAACTCGTGGGAGTTGGCAAAAATGAAGCATTATTGATGCGTCTCTTTGGTCGAAGTCTAAGTGGAGAAGCTCTAGAGTGGCTTACATCACAAGAGCTGAAACAATGGAAAAGTTGGAGTGCACTCGCAAAGGATTTCACAGAAAGATTTGGACATAACATAGAAGATGCCCCAGATCGCTACTACTTGGAGAAGATCAAACAGAAGTCTACAGAAAATTATCGAGAGTATGTTTTTCGTTGGAGAAAAGAGGCCGCAAGAGTTCAACCTCCAATGTCCGAACGTGAGATCACTGAAATGTTCATTCATACTCAAGAGCCCGAGTACTATGAAAGAATGTTGTGTATGATGGGACAAAAGTTTGTCGAGATTGTCAAAGTGGGATAAGCTTTGGAAGATGGTTTCAAGACTGGAAAGCTCACCAGATTTACCGTAGCGATCTAATGGAAAATCTACTAGAATTAGCGATATGGATAAATTAAAAGGAAAAGTGGAGGAGGTAAGTATGGTCACGGCTACTCATATGAGGTCAGCTTCTCAAAGGAAATATCAAAACCATAATGTCAATCAGGTAAAATTTCCTCGCCCAAAATTCAGAAAGGCTCCTAAAGTATTTACACCATTAAGGGAATGTCAAACTCAACTTTATGAAAGGTTGAAAGCAATGGGTATGCTCCATCCTATAGAAGGAAAACCAGCCAATCCGTTGGGAAAATTTTACAGAGCTGACCACAGATGTGCTTATCATTCAGGAGCCGTTGGACACGACACAGAGAATTGTTCAACTCTGAAGCACAAGATACAAAACATGATCAACAACAACTTGATCAATATTGAGGAAAGCACCTGAATGGATGACATATTGGATGCTCAAGAGTATTCTAAACTGAGTCATTAGAAGATATTCATTCGAGAAGAAGAATGCCCAACATTGGCCAAAATTTTGCATGTGAAGTTTTGTTACCTTTCTTTTGAAAATGTATCGCACTTTTCTTGTTGGAACTACGTTCGACCTAAATTATCAAGAATGAGATACGTAGGCGGCTTATGTCGGCCTCGGTCGTTTCTTTATCAAAACTTCCTATTTGGTTAATCCTTGAGGGGGGAGGGGGAACTACGTTTGACCTGATTCCTGCTCCAATGGGATACGTGATATACCGTGGTTTAACGGTATAATTAATACTTTTTCCTTAAGTTTAGTGTGTCCGAAAGCCCTTTTTGTGCTAATTTTGATATAAGTTTCTCTTTGTTTTGCAGGAAATCTGTCCAAAGCTGAATGCAGAGATTTTGAGCGAAAAATACAGAAGAGACCACCTATGGAGCTTATGACGGTCCGTCGTACCTGTGACGGTCCATAGGTGGCAGCGTAGAGAAGCTGCTGAAGGAAGATGGGGAAGTCTGACCAAGTGTGGGATTACGGAGCTTGTGACGGTCCGTCATAGCTATGACGGTCCGTCCTGCAGGTTCGTCGTGAAGATCAGAGAAGTGATCCCAGTACCTAGATTCCAAGAGTTGAAGTATTTTGAAATGAGACCCTCGATGGACCGTTGTGCTTATGACGGTCCGTCACACTTGCCGTCGAGGGGAATGAAGAAAGCAGCAGAAGAATTGCACCAAGTGTGGGACGACGGAGTCCACGACGGTCTGTCATGACCACAACGGTCCGTCGCGTGGTCCGTCGACCCAGCCGCGTTTTGGCAGATTTCCAGTAATTAGAATCCTTGTTTAAATAGGTTTTTATTTATTTTTATAAATAGTTCAAAAAACCTCGTTTTTGAGGTTAGACTTTGTGAGATTAAACATCATATTGTGAGACTTTGTGTCTTGAGAGTTTGATTGTGAGAGATTCTTACAAGTGATTTTTTGGTGATTAATCAAGCAAATTTTCGGACTTTATTCTTTCTCATTGAAGTAAGTACATGAATTCTTGTTTAACATATTTGAATATTGTGTTTATGGCTATGAGGAACTAAACTCCATAAGTAGGGTTGTGGGAACCATAGGCAAATAATGAGATAAACCCTAGCTAAAATAACAATTCTAGAATCGTGTCTTGCATGTATTAATAATTCTTTCGCTTAAAAGTCTTTTTAACGGCTGATCAACGTTAGAACTCGCCTTAATGCTACTTGCCGGACCAAGGAGGTAGATAATAGGAAAAGAATTATTAACGTAGATTTAGTGTATACTATCTAATAGGCTAGTATTGATTGGTACGAGGTAAT